CAAAACTTACTTAAGATAAATCTTGGAGCTTCTTCAACAGTCATTGCTTGATTTTGTTGGTTTTATAGGAAAGGGAAACTTCTTATCTAGATGAAAGCATAGTTGATCTTTTTTTTTCAATATTGTCATGACATAACAGTGATATATACAGTATATAAATAAAGAAATAAAGCAGCAAATTTTGTAGAAGCCCAAGGATTTATTCCAAAAACTTATCAGCCAGTTTGTGGCCATTAACCATTCATATTCAGTTACTATGTTTAGTTTTAGTGTTATTGTTTTCTAACATGGAACCATTTCTTTTAGCTTTTCAACATCATGTACAGCAAAAAACTGATTCCTTTGTATTTTAAATATTTCCAACTCCAAGCCAACTTGTGCTTGTTTATCCACTTTCTGATCTGTATTGTTTAATAGAAGATTTTGGCTTTGTATCTGTGATATATGATGAAATTTCTACCTTGTCTTTCTTTCTGCTGACACATTTTGACTTCTATTTTATTTCATTGTCATGTGATCATGTACACAATCTTCAAAAAATTATCCTCTTGTTTAACTCCTAACCACTTAACCATGATGTTACTACTAAGTTCACTAAATAGTTGTTATTACAGCTGATACATTAGAACATTGTGACATAATCAAACTAGCAATTTTTGTGCAGTCTGGAGAGAGAGAGACAATAATCAGTTTAGATGGGGTGGTGGTTTGTTTAACTCTGTGCAGCTCTTTATGTATAGTTAATAAACAAACACTTGATGAGAAATATATATGACTATTGAGGAATTTATTGAATAATGTTTTCTGTAATTTGACAACCTGATGAATGCCAGCATCAGCCTTACAAGCTTTCAGCTAAAAAATTTAGGTGTGTTACAAGGATGACATAAGTATGACATATCATTTAGTGAAAAATGATCACAATATGTAACTGGGGACCAAGCTTGTCCACAAGAAAGTACTGTGACATCACAGTCCATTTTAAGTGAGATTTTGTTGTACTTTTGTTGCTAAATATAAGACAGATATGTAATGAAATTTGTTTAATCAAAAGAATTCAGGAGAAATACAATGGTTTGTTTTTTAGGGAGAATGTACCTTTGGAGATCAGTGCAAATATTCTCATGAACTTGAAGAAAAGGAACATCAAACAAAATGTGAGATAAAGGAGAATGACTCAAGTCCTTGCACAACGTCTGTCAAAGAGCCATGTTAATATTATTGGAAGTTTCAAGAGACTTTCAACTGATTACGTTTGTACTGATTTATGTCTGCAACTTGTAGAGACAATTAAAGTGTGATCAAATAATATGTATGACATGTACCAGGAGGACTTCTTTTGGCATAAATTGCAAATAAATTATAAAAAACAATAACAAATGTCTGTTATATTTATGATAATTGCAGTTTGTATAATTGGAAAAAACAATTGTTACATTCCATGACAGTTTTTAATGCTTTTTTAAAGTCTTCTTATAACCGTGAGTACTTTGGAAGTCAAGTACAAAGATGGGATTGTTACTATCTTAACAAAATTTTGTAACTAAGACTGCTACAATAGTTAAATATAAATAGACAAAGTAGTTATTACATGGTTTCTGTATTTTCAAAGACTATGTTATTTCTTTGTTGTCAAAACTTGTTATAACTTGTTACTATTGTGTAAGGTTAAGAAAAATCATGTGGTTGGTGTGTTTTAAAGATTTTGTATGACTTTTACCAGATTTGTGCTATGTTGTCAACACTTGTTACGACTCATAATTACTTTGTAGACAAATACAAAGATTAGATTTTCTGTGTATTATCAACATTCTTTATAATTAATTACACTTATTTAGCACAAATGAAAAAAAACAGTTGATTACTTTTTTTATCAATACTTGTTATAACTCCTACCAGATTATTACTGGATCGGGACTTTAAATTAACTTTTTAAGCTACTACTTTACGGCTGATGACTGTAATAGATCATTAGTCCAGAGCTAATTACACAGAAATGTTTTGCTACTAAAACAGTATGTACACAAAAGTGAAGATTTGGTCATATTATTGCATTTTTACTCACAAACAATTAATTTATAAATATTGTGAACCAGAAAACTGTTATTGTTTTCCTGGAAGTTATTAAAAACTAAAGTTACAACAAATATCCATTAGTAAAATAAAATACCGAAGTCATGCAACCATTATTATAAGTTTCAACTCTTTGGTAGAAGTTATTAAGTACTATAATTGTAAATTATTATGCAATGTAAAGCCTTTTAAAAGATAAAGGTGTAATTGTAGCTGAGACATCTTTAAAAGAGGCAATATATATAATTATCACAATGGAAAATAAAAATAAAGTTGTTATTGTTTTGGCGTTAGGAAATTAAAATTAAATGATTGAAATTCTAAATGAATTATTTTCATATAGACAGTTGAAATGTTAATCTGATCATATACACAAGCTATATTGCACACTGCAAGCCAATTTGCAGTAACTCCCTCACCTGCAAAACGAATTCTGTGTTTACGAAAATTACCTTAAACCCCCAAAGTTATTGTAATGAAAATGGGCCTATTTGGACATGATCACATAGGTTACCATCTTTTCCTTCTTCTCTAATACCAGCATATTTCCAATACAGCTCTAACTCATCGAACCCTACCCAGAGTTACTGGATAGCACAATGGATAGACCTCTGTTTCATGTTACAAGTTGGGAAAATCTATCAATTGATTTAGACTATTCATGAATACAGGAGTTTAACTGACAAAAGTATATTATTTCATTAGTTTTATTTAGATGCAAAAACATGTTGAGAACAAGGTGTTCATCAAATACAGATTAACACAAACATATTTAGAACAAGGATTTGAAATTAATGAAAGCTCATATGCTAGAAGTTCACACACTTTCAGCCACACCTTGAAATATCAACAGTAGTTGTTGTGGAAAAGATGACTAATGAAACTGGAATTTTAGTAATATCTTTTATTCACATACTTATCAAATTTCCCAGTGTAACTCGAATGGACTTTTAAGCTATTGGTTTGTTAAAACTTGATCTTAGAAGCTGATGAAGGGTTTTAGAAAGTTGTTGAAATATGTGATCTGAGACTAACTTTACCATTCTTCAAAGACTTGTTACGCTGGAAATTTTGGTGTTGTACAGTAGTGAGTAATTGTTGTCATCAAAATGAGAAAAAGAAACTAGACCTAAGGGTAGCACAAGTACTTAGAACTTTAGTTTTGTAAAGTGTGATTACTTTTCAGTAGAAAAACTAAGTTGTTAGTGTTACATCAGGGAATTTTATGAACTGGAACTTTATTCAATACAAGCAGAAAAATACAGAGTTTATAATGTTTTCATAGGTGTTAACATAACTATTATATAACACAAAGTTTCATGCATGATGGCAGGTATGGTTAAGTACATATTTTTGGCAGTTTATATGTCCAAATTCAAAATACAGTGGAACAAAAGTAGTTGCTCTCTTTAAAAGTACTTTCCAAACCCAGAATTGTAGATACTATTCTGTTAGATAATCCAGGATGGAGTATAATGAGGGGAATCCTATGGGTATCCTTTGAAAATGGAATCATAGGAGGCAGGTTATTAAAATGAAGATCTGATCAGTCCAGTCAGTTTAAAACAGTACAAGTGTAAAAATGTTTTTAAATAAAAAAATTAACAAGTAGGAATGGAAGCACCAAAAAGTAAGGAAACAAAGTTGAAATGGGCAAAATAATATTATAACACTTGGTGCAATCTCAAAGTGGGTGTGGCCATCCTAAATTTCTTTGTTGTAAACTTTGTTTCAATAACCAAGTACAGATACATGTATGTAATTAAATTATGTGACCCTAACAAAATACATTACAGTATAGGGGGAGGGGGGGTGTTTGATTTCAGAAGTCAGGCAGGAAGCTCCAATAGTCATACTTTGCTTATGGAAGACATTATAGCTATCTGACTGGTAAGGAGTGGGCCAACAGAATAGTATCAAAACTGTTGATTTTTAAAGTGTTTAAATTTCTT